TAAAAGAAAGCGCCAAAGACCCTCAGGCTTCGGTTAGCTTAGCGAGGTTATAGATGCTCGTAGTGTGTGTGTGTGTGTGTGTGTGTGTGTGTGTGTGTGTGTGAGTGAGAGAGAGAGAGAGTTTGAGAGAGAGATTCTGAATGGTAGATATGCCTCGGGCTATGCTTATTAAAAGGCTTTCAGTCTTACACACACACACGCACACACATGCTCAAGCTGTAACATGTTCTTCCAAAAAGGCTAACTGTTGACTGGAGGCTACTTTTAGAAGAGTGAGAGTGAGAAAGATACACAGAAAGTGACAGATACAGATAGAGACAGAAGAGAAAGTAAGAGAACAGAGAGACACAAAAGAGAAAAAGATAGCTAGAGAAAGTGACAGACAGTGAGAATTAGAGCAAATCAGACAGACAGAAACAGAGACATCTCAGGATCGCAGGAGTAGATGTTTGTAGACCTCAGGTGGGAGAGACAGGTTGGTGAGAGGGAAGGATGGATGGAAAATGAGACAGATGGACAGAGGGATAAGTGGGAGAGACAGCTGGATAGAGTGAGGCATAGATGAACAGAGAAATAGACCGATGGAAAGAGGGGTATAGAGATAGACAGAGGTAGAGAAATATAGACGGACAGAAGGATTGAGAGAGACAGGTAGAGAGACAGATTGACATAGAGAGTGAGACAGATAGCTGGAGAGTGGGATAGAGAGTCAGATGGATAGATTTATCAAGAGAGAGAGCATGTATCTGGACAGATGAATACAAAGTGAGACAGTTGGACAGAGGGATAGTGAGAGACAGAAAGATAGACTAATGGATAGACAAATGGACAATAGATAGACAGAGATAGAGAGAGATAGTTTTGCAGACAGATAGCGAGAGATGGACAGAGGTGTAGAGAGAGCGAGAGACATTTAAATGGACAGAGGGATGGAGAGACAGATAAATGGACAGATGGACCGAAGGATGGAGAGAGAGAGAGAGAGAGAGAAACAGAAAGTTGGGTAGAGTGAGGCATAGATGGACAGAGGGATAAAGAGAGAGACAACGTGTTTTTGTCTTATGCATTAGAGTTGCTCAGTTTTCAGTTCTCGCATTAAAGAAAAGTGACCTCTCAAAACCACACACACACACACACACTCTCACACACACACGCACACGCGCACACACACACTGGCCTCCTTTTTGGCTTTGCGTGTTTAAGCAAGTATTCATTTTTGCAGAATGTGGATGAGCACTATGTGTGTGTGTTGTGTGTGTGTGTGTGTTGTGTGTGTGTGTGTGTGTGTGTGTGTGTGTGTGTTATGAATGTATTAATGTGCTCAGACAGTGGTTGACAGTTACACAAAGACTCCAGCCGCTCCTTTGTGTTTGGGGGCCTCACCATACACACTGACCACTGTGTGTCGCCTGCGGCTCGTCTGCATGCATGCGTGTGTGTGTGTGTGCGTGCGTGTGTGTGTGTGTGTGTGCATGTGTGAATTGCACACAAGGAGTTTATTCAGTTATGACGTTGATACATTGAGACATACAGTGAGATCTGACTGAATTCCATCTGCGTATGTTCTGTATCTTTGTGTGTGCGTGCGTGCGTGCGTGTGTTTGTGTGAGTATGTGTGTGTTTCAATAAACATTTTTTCACACTGTTTTTCTTATGCTTCTGCAAAAAGATATTAAAGTAAAGATATAAGTCAAGCTAATAAAACCACAGATTTTTGTTGTCATTTTTTTTCCTCCCAAGTTGGTTGTTGTGAATTCTCGCCTGCTTTGTAGTATGACAGTTACTAATCTGTGATTAAGAATGTTAAGTCCTGGTTTATAATTGCTCACAGTGTTTCTGGGAATGACGTGAAACAAACTTCTGAATGTTTGTGGTGTTTCAAAACAGTAGGAGGCCTTAAGCTATTCACAGGCTGTCAATCAAACAGGGGGGCAGGGGAGTAAACAACACAGAGTTATAGTAAGCAAAAGTGTGTGTTTTGTCGTCTGTTCAAACAGGAGATACGGATGTTTAAATGTTCCAATTTATATGCAATTAGTGAAGTTACAGGTTTCACTGCAAAAAAACGATACGTGAACACTGATTGTGTAACAAACAGCTGCGGTAACCATGAAAGACAATGAAATGATAAAAGAATTATTTATACCATAGTTCTGTTGAATTTTCGATTCTGTTCAGTTAATTTACTGTAACAGCAGCTCGGACAGTAGTTCATCTGCAAAACAGCGCAGGTTTATAGTATAACATTTCTATAATAACAGCTCATTCACAGGGACTTGTATATTAGACGCTCCAAGTAAACAGGTAAAAAAAATGTGTGTAATTGTTGATATAGTGATGTTTTCTGTAAGGAAATGTTTATTCATCAGTTATGAAAGGAGTCTCCAGTGTCAGTGCTTTGTTGTATCTTTATCTTTTGCAACACGCGAAAGTCTTCAAGACAGAGGAGTTTGCGGTTTCTCGGTAACATGACAAGCTGTGTTTTTTTTGTCTTATTAAGATCATCAAAGAGAAGAAAGGAATGAACTTGTTTCCTGGATGTTCTACATCATTAAACGTGACTATAAGCAGATACAAAGTTGATAAAAAAAAATTCTTAGCATGGACAAACTGTGGTCATATAAGAGGAACAAACACATTGGAACATGCTGTTTTTGGAAATTAATCAACTTCAGAGTGGTAACAGCTGCACTACACTGAAAAATCACTGATTATTTTCTTATTAAAGCATGCCCTGTTGTGTTTTATTCCTGAGTTAACAACACTACTTCACTACTTGCTCGATAAAATAGCTCAGCAACTTGAGCTGAAAAAAAGTAGCGTAAACTTCACAAACTTCACGAAAAACTTAAACTTCACAAACTCACAGCATTTTTTAAAGTTGTCGCTCATGTGAAGTCACAGGAGGCTGCAGTAGTTTTACAGAAACATCAGTAACTGGGGCACCTTTTGTGCAATATGAAAAAAGCCCCTAACACGATACACACATTGTAACTATAACAGTACTGTTACTGCTCGTGCCTGAGGAGCTAGCCTATGTTAACAACAGAGACTAGATTATATTTTTAGCGTAACTACTGCAAAGAGAAAGCTCTGCATTAAAATATATCCATTTGGCATGTCGTAAAATCTCCTTATATTTGCAGACCACCAGCAATAATTTTCCTACCAGCACTCTATCCTTGCTTTCGTGCTTGGCCCCTGTTGTTGTGACCTGATTGGTCACTTAGTGCTTTTCTGAAAACTTTTTTCAGCTGTTAGAATGGCTTTGCTGTGATGGAAAAAAAAATATCTTGGAGCAGCGTTTT